ACCACCAAACCCACCCACTCCCCTCACCCCCACCCCTCACCCACCCAAACGCCCTTCTCTCTGAAATCGAGCATTTTTTCACTCGAAAGCAACTTTCTTTTTTCATTTGTAAGGAACCTGAACCATCCACAAAAATAAATTCGATTTTATTGAATCATAAATCATTATTTGCTGATTTCTATGCAAATTCTGAAAATGCCATTTTTTTCTTAAAAAATGATTAATCGAACATACATTTTTACTTTTTTCTTGTCGGAATAGCACAAATGATTTCTCTCTTTTCAAACATTAAAAATAAAGAAAAATAAGGTAAAAGACTCATCTCTATTCTAAAACCTTACTTTTAATAAATATAATACATGAAAGACTTTGTGTTTAGATTTTGATGGAGTGAGTATTGAAGATTTAAGGCTTTTCTTAAATACTTACGCTAATCTGAAACTTGATCAATTCTGTAGATGTACATGAAAAGAAAACACCCCTATCAATATCCCATGCACATCCACACCCGATTCTCTATTCCTAAGATGAAATCGGAAAAAACGATCAACATAATCTTTCATCCATTTGATCACTGATTAAATTTATTCAGTTCCTGGTTTTTCTCAAGAAACAGAAATTTTGATTTGAAAATGTTGTACAAATGAAAGCATTAGACTATCATGTTGGATGATTGAATTTTGAAAAAGTCGAAGGCTTTTATTAAGGTACAATTTTTTTTTAACTTCTCAATTGAATATCAACAAAAAACTTTCCATACCAATGTATCCTTTTAACCAAAAGTGAGACTCAGTCTTTAAATAGGCTAGTAAATCTTCTGAATTTCTTAGAGACTTTCTAGGAGAATCGATTCTTAATAGAAAATACTTGGTAAGAGTAAAAAAATCTGGATAAGAAAGCAGTTGATAGAATTTTGAAGGGTTTCATCCGATATTTGTGCTTTAGTCTTTTAAATAATAGAACAAAACATCTCATTAGATAAATATATACGCCGTGTGAAGATGAACAAACAAGCGGATTTCAAGAAAATAATTTTTAGATAAAACATTGGAAATTATGGACAATTATATGTAATAAATATCAGTTCAATTTAAATAAAAGCATATATTTAGTGCCGTGTATGATTCTATGAAACTAACTACAGTACTAGAAAGATATCCAAAAAAAATCGTTTTTGAATTTTGTACCTTCAGCTGAGAACATCTTAAAATAATGTAGAATCGTGAGGCACATAGTTTTACAGACGCATTATATGTGTTTGGAATGATTTTAACATATAATGATGAATTTCTTCTGTTATGTAGTATTGAATTTACGTAAATCTCTTTGATCTATTTGAATTCGGCAGCATGTTTACTGTCAAAGCTATCAATCAAATGAAACAATTTTTTTTTCTCAATTATATGTTGATTCTGAATATTTAATGCATGACAGCTCATGATGTTCGTGTGAAAAAGATGAACTTGTGCAAACTCTTAAAACAATCATTGAACAAGAACAATTTTTTACTTGTTTGGTATGATAAAGGAAAAAATTGATATGCTATTGAAAATTTAACGTTAAATTATCAAAAACAGAATATCAATGTAAAATCAATCATAAGAAAACAGAACGAACAAATAAATTTCGGTTTTTTACTTATTAATCTCATTAAAACTTAGGAATTAAAATGTATTTTGGATTGTATACAAAAAACATAATGCCGTACGATCACACGATCATGTTGAATAGTTGAAACATAACTTAAACAAACAAAAAAATCTGATATGATTATTATTAAAAATCGATGTTAGCCAAAACATCAACGATTAGATGATCTTAGTCAAAACAAAAACTAAATGTATGTTTTGAAGATAAAAGAGTTTTTCTTTGGTTTATGTGATAGACGTCGATGAGTATCAGGATTTTATCAAGTAATTGTACTTGATGAACGTGATCCAACATTGAATATTAATAATACATATTGTTGTTTTTATCAAAATTATAATTTAGTTGAATTTCTTTCTTGTTATTTAAATCATAATCAGTTTTCTTTATCATTATAAGAGTAGAAATGCATAAAAAAAGATCTATTCTATGGTAAGAACAAGTCAAAGGATAATTAGATAATAAAAAGTTCTTTGGTTTTGTAGTAAATACTCTGAGTAGTGACAGATCCGCGTATTCGGAGATCACCGCTTCTCTTTTGAAATATCTGCTTGACATTTAAAATTTAACAATTTTGCATTTTACATTATAAGAAGGTGTGCGCATCGACTTTTCTATGTCTCTCAGACCCACACCCTATACAGATTATCACTTCACTTTATCATTGACGTGTTTTCTCTTACTTAAAAAAACTGTCAGGACGCTATTATGTACCTCTCTTTGATATATCTTTTAATTTACACACAAATATTCGTCGAACAGTTACAAATGAAATGGAATCAGTATGAATTGAGACGGTGAATATTCTGTAGGAATCTGTTCCTTTTATCTCATGATGTTACTGGTGTAATTGCTCCAAAACATTTGTGGATAAAACCTGTAGCAACCGTGAAATTTTACCAATGAAGATGAATTATTTAAGATGGCTCTTGAAAAAAGTGAATCTATGAATTATCTCAAACTGATGATTGACTTACTCGGAAAGTAGTGAATACATCGGACGGAAAACATGTGTACCAAAGAGAGAATTTTATTTTTTCAATTTACACTTGCAGTCAGAGTACACCAAGAAAACGAAAGTTGACATGCGATTTGAGTATTTCATGAAACGATTAGTCCAACCACGTTAAATATACGTGAACTATTGTCAATCAAACACGACTAGAGAAGGTCCGCCTAACTGCATACACATAAATTTTGTCAAGCGAAACAGGCAAATGTGAAATTGAACCTTATTTCTTCATCTTTTATACATTGAGTCTTTCTACTGAAGCACTTAAGGCAAGCCATGTTATCAGCTGTTTCTGTTTTTTGAAAATGAAAGAACCAACTTGTTGTAATTACATTAGCAGGCAAAAAGACTCAGTTGCACAACATCAAACCATTAACTTTTATCAGAAAAAATTTCCTACATAGAGACAACTTCGTAGTAGATCAGAGACACAGAACACTCAGTTTTTTTCCATCTTAAAAATTGTTGCTTACTTGTAACACATTGCGTAAATATTCATTTCTTAATGTTACGTAATTTCACGACTAGTTTGACACTTTCGAACAGATGTTTTATTGTCATTCTGTAAATACGAGATGAATTTCTTTTTACTTTCTGTTCGCATTTTTTTAAAAATGTATTTCATTCAAATCAAAATAGTTTCTCTAGTTTCATGACTGTAGTTTATCATAGAAGAAAACGGCTGGACCGTTCCTTGTCTAGTATCATTCTTAATCTGATTTTTCGAACCGTAACATATCTTTATCATTTCGAAGATCGTTCAGTTAACCATATTCAGTAAGATTGTTTTCGTCTGATACTCGAACTGGTGACAATCAGGTGTGGATGGCGAAAATTACGGGTGTTGCTGAGTATAAGTACATCTTTACTTACACATTTACGCCGATACTCACATCTACACTGCTCCGTCTTATTAAAAAAGTTATTTGAAAGGTGATATTTTTGAAAATTTGTCTAATTTCCAGACTAACTGCATACTATCGTAAACAGACACTTATCTGCGAGCTCGGGTTGCTTTTAACAAGATTAAAACTGTAAAGAAAATAAGAGGGAGAGGTGCTGTGATATTACTTTTTGTTACCAATTCAATGTATATTTTATTATGAACTACATTGACAAACTGAAAAAGTAGCGTTACCTCCACCCTCGGTATAGATGTTCACTACACTACTCCATCACTTCAGTTGTGTCTATTTCACATAGAACACAACTTTATATACGAGAGAGGAAACGGGAAAGAAGAGAGAAAAGGATGGATAGAGGACAATGAACAGACAGCATTGATCGGTCATGAGTTCATAGCATCTAGTCGCATAGGGACTGATTGTTCTGACAACATTAAACTAATGGAAGATGAAGAAAGGTCGTGCCCTTATTATCGGCACAAAAACACTTCCCATATTTGTTAATTTACATAGTAGCACAATTTTTTTATGAATGTGAACGAAAATAAAAAGACTTTAATATAAGATACGAATAAGAAAAGATGGACTTCATCGATCAGCTTGGTACTGAGATGATCACAAAATTCCAAATTCATTATTTTTCGCTTGACTAATTGTTAAGCTTGTCTTTGATTTCAAGCTCTACTGCATAATGCTTTCGATTATTCTACATTTACAGCGCATGAATTCAGCAAGCTAGATGATGTTGCGCGAGGCAAAATTAACAAAAAAAATTATATTGTGTTATTGAATTACGATGTATCCCTAGTTGTAAACAGCTATACTCCGAGGAATACGACCGTTTACATGGTCCAATATGACAATTATATATCTTCGCGTCATATATATCTATAGATGATTTTAAAATGCGAGAATACCCATGATAGCTACCGTTTCTTTTTAAATATAGCTATGTGCTCTGTCATTGCCTCTTGGTAAGACAGGGAGGGCCAGTGTAACACGGCGACTCATCCATCTCTGTTCTGCAGCCTCTCTGGAATTTTTTTTTTAAATATTTTATTATGATTCAACGATTTTAAGCACCCAAAAGTTATAAATATACAAAAAAGAAATAATTATTGTAAAAGTTTGTTTAAACATTGTATCGATAACTAAGCATCATATTCACTTGTTTTGGAGTCAAGAATAGTTATAGGTGGAAAATTATAAAGCCAATAGGTGTCTATTCTTGAAGATTGAAAAACAAGTTGAGATTGTGCACTCTTCAAATCATCTGTTGCTCGATTATCCATATCATTGATATTTTTATGTTTTTTTATGAATAAACGTTTCTTTTTTGAAAGGTCTATTACTGCAATTTCATGTTTTAGTTCACTCATATATTTTTCTCGAATTTTAATATATAGAAGAATTGACCAAAACCCTTCCAGTCCATTACAAATAATAAAAATCCAAGAAAGTATATTACCGATTTCAGAACCAAAAACAAGTAAAAACGGACCTATAAGCCAACCAATTCCTTGACTAATACTTGAAAAAGTTAATAATAAAACACATTCTTTCATTCGTTGATAAGAGTGATGACGTGAAGTTGCGTGTCGTACATGATCAACAATACGTTTAGTTACGAGAATAAATACAGAAATATTAAATAAGAGAAAAATACAAGCAGGTATTGTCAAAAAATAATAGATAGCATTTTTTTCAAACCAACAAATTTTATTTGCATGTAAACTAATAATATGAAATGAAGAATTTGAATAGAAACCAGCAGCAAAAACAACGAGTATAATGGAAAATATGAATGAAATAATTAATAAACTGTAAAGTTTGTTGAATGATGGTGGTGGGAAAAGGCGAACAAAATGAATATAATTGAAATAACCAATACTAGCTTTCGTACAGAACATAAATATTAAAAAGAAATAGGTGAAAAACATTAGAATTGTAGCGCTAGTAAAACATTTTTGCTCCGCAGGTAATTGAGGTTTTGTATGAACAGTTAAAACAAGTGCAATAAAGAAAATAAAGAGAAGAGTCGTACTTCCAGAGGAAATTACTGGAAGTAAATTCATTGCTCGGAGTTTCATGTTTGGATTAATGACGCTAGTAACAATACTATGAATGATTAAAGCTAAAAAACAGACGATGGAAATGGACTGAAATACAAGAGAAGCAATATCTTCAGCTGAGAGTTTAGCATCAAGACTACTTGGAGATAACCAGAGAAGAGCAAATGAAGTTAAATGATTGCAATTACATTCGTATCGAGCGAAATTCGAATTATATTTGGGTTTAGTGCAACCTGTATCGTTCCATGACCTGGTTTTGTTATCGTAATATACACAAAGAAAGTTATCCTCAGAAATATTTTTCACCTTGGTAGTTTGATTCTGAAAATATAATGAAATATTCATTCGTCCAGATGTATGTGTTGTGTTCGATAGGCTAGCAACAATAACTGATGAAACAAGTACACCATTCATTGAAGTGCTCACATTAAGATAATCCTTGGGAATGCCAATCAAAAATAACTTGAGATACGTAGCATCAATCAAAGAGTCAACTTGAATAACAGCTGCAGCTGAAAAGTTGTTCTTCAGTCTTTCATCAACAGTCGAATGCGTTATATTACCACCACCATGTTCTGTTAAAAGCCAAGCACCAATGACAGCATCCTCTCCTTTCTTCAATGGTGTTGATATTAAAAATGATGTATTCCTAACAACACTAGCAGTATCGTTAAGACATCCAACTTTTTCATCGATTTCCTCGGGTGACAAATGTTCAGTTAGATTTGACGAAAAATTCTGACGAGCAATTGCTTCAGTGTACGTTGCAAGATAATATGCTAAGGTGGACGCGTCCCGACAGCTGTCATTCGATCGAATTGCTTGAAAAGCTTCTTTCTAAAATAATTGCAACAATGAAAGAGAATTGGACAAACTTTTATGTCGTACTTGCACTTCGTCGATTGGCTTACATAAGCCGTTCACTGGTAATAAGGAACTATTATTACAAGAGCTTGAATTATAATAAATTGGTGAAGGGGTAGTAGTAGTTGTTGTTGAGGGGACACTAGTATTAGTTGTTGTTGATGGGACACTAGTAGTAGTTGTTGTTGATGGGACACTAGTAGTAGTTGTTGTTGAGGGGACACTAGTAGTAGTTGTTGTTGAGGGGACACTAGTAGTAGTTGTTGTTGAGGGGACACTAGTAGTAGTTGTTGTTGAGGGGACAGTAGTAATAGTAGTTGTTGTTCTTGAAGAAACAACATAAGGAAAGGAAGTGATCACACTTGTTTCGGTTGGTATTGAAGCTACAGAGATAACACAAATAATTCAAGTAAAAAGGTTCATTCTTTTTGAATCGATTTTATCAGCTCATTTTTTCACCTGAGAACGACGAAAATTCAATCGTAGGTGTAGACCAGTAAATACAAAAGCATTCATAGCGATCAAATATATTATTGTGTATCGGTGAACTGCAGTTGGAGTGAGTCCAATTTGAAGTATTTA